GCACACACACATCTGTATTGAACAACAATGGAATGGTTTCTGTATGTGGCACTTTGTAATCTGTCTTCTCACCTAAAAATGGAGTATCCTTTTTGAGGCTGGCTCAGGTGCAGCTCTCAGGTAGATAAATTCCCCCATGTTCTCAAAGTTTTTCCATATGAACCAAAGCCGTGGGAACAGCACCCCCTAGGACTCCAGCTAGAATTTGGCAAAAGCTAATCCAGATAAGTAAAATCCTTACCAGGGGCGGGGTCTGCAGGACCAACAGCAGCAGGGACACTGCCTTCACACCCTGGCCTAGTCTTGCCTCATGGGGGCGCTAGAGAGGAAAAAACACTCCTCCAGGTTGAAGGATGTTGGAGACGACCTTCTATGAGCTCATGGAGGTTCTTTCTATAGACTAGAAAATTAAATGCTAGTGACCCATGCAAGGGCAGATAATGAATAAGTAGCTGGGCAGTCAATAACCTGGTGTTTTGATTCTTGGCCTCTCACTGAAGCCCCATCCAGCTCACAATTCATGCAGGAAGATGGAAATCTGTGAATGAGGCAGCTGGGTCCTATTCTTCTCTAGCCACTAACTCTGACCTTGGGTACAACACTGGCCCCTACCATGCTCAGTGGCCAGTCAGCCTCTGAGAGTGGTTGTGGAATGTTCTATACTGATCCAAGTCTCACATAGGAGGCTGTGGGAAGCCAGAACACAGGCCCGTACGTGCTGGGATATCATGAGTGCTAGCCCCTTCTCTCGGCCCCAGAGCAGGTGAACAAAACTAACTCAGAGGGAATATTTTTCTTCAAGGTCACCCCAGACACCTGAGTTTGACCATGGTCATTGATCACTTCCAGAAAGAGACCTTGTTAATTTTGCACTTGGTTTTAATAGACCCACAGGGTGGAGCCCTTGCCCTCATTTTCACATGCATGTTAATAACACCTGCAGAAGAAAAGGAAATTCTTTGGGGAACTCATGCAGTGCCGAGTCCTGTAACACAAGTGACTCAGGCATGCTGATCCCCAGCCAGAAGGGCCTGGGCCCCTCCTGATCGGGAGATACAAGGGAGCAAGATGGATATAACGAGGTAGGGGGACAACTCCTTAGTCTGTGCAGAATTTCCTCCCCAGGAACCCAATAGCTACTTGTCCTGCCTTAATGCTCCCCTCTCCAAAAAGTAATGGGAATACCTAGCTTTTCCTCCTGGTGTATCTTGCAGAAGGTGGTGCTATGGCCAGTAGTCCAAGATCTGAAAAAGCACATGTCACCTGTAGATCAGTACACATAGTCTTTTTTTTTTTCCCAAAACAGGCTTGGTCCATGTTTTTGGAAAGAAAAATCATAGTTATATGATCATCCTGTTTTCCCAGAAAGCAGAGTTTTTTCATAATTGGATAACCAATTTAGATGTCAACGTCTTTCATGGTGTAGGTGGACTAGTCAAATGCCTACCTCAAATATGTAAACTGTTAATGTGGTTATACATTCATAATTAAAGTTATATTAGAAACTTTAGATTTACTCTGTATTGGAATCTATGACATTTGCATTTAAAAATACTATATTTTTTTTTGCACATTATGAAACTGAACCTTATAAAATTGCCACTTTGGGTGGATCAGTTGAATGAGCAGTTGTATACAGTGCCAGCCTAGTATTTGCAGTGTCTGTGTCATCATGTAGCTCCCTTTTCTGAGTCATCTGTGCGTTTGGCTAGAGCAGAGAGTCATCGCTGCCTGATTTCAGTTAGAGATGCCGCCCTTTTGAATCTGTATGTCCTGCTATCACTGGACATTCCTGCACGGGTTGCGGCATTAGTTTATGCTTCATTTATGTGACTTTGCTCGGTTTTGGTGTGACTCTGCTGTGCATTAGAACCTTTGCACTTTTCCGTCACTCACTGAGAGAACTCAGACCCTAGACGTAACCACTTATTTTTATAAGTGATCTGTAAACATTTTTACACCATCCTCATTTGTGATCATGAAGTCCTGTCTTCAAGAATAATTTTTGCCTCCTCTTTATTATTTTTTAACTCCTATGTTATCTCCATTAGATCCATAATGAGCCCTGACTGAGGTCATTCAGGTGAGTGGCATTTTCCCAAACAGTACTTTGACTACAAAATCATTGAAAGCACTCCTCACCCCTGCCTCTGAACTGTAAGAGATTTTGTTCTAACAGTAAGCAACTTACTCTTCTAAGAATAATTTTGACTGAAAGCTTTCACCCCTTATATCCAAGCACAGCTGTCACCTACATATAAACTCAGCAATCAAGCTGCAGCTGGATGTCATTCTGGCTTAATTATACGTATCTGTATATAAATATACAACTACTTCACACAAGACGACAGAGCTCTTTGCATTCTTCATGGGGCAGAAGCTCAGATTAAATCAGGGCCTCACAGTTCCAGCTGCTCATTGCAACCACCTGGAGAACTGTCAAAAACAATGATACCCCTAAACAGTTCGATTTTATTAGTCTGGTTCATCAAGAATATTTTTAATATCTTTATTTCTATGTGGTGCTGAGGATTGAACCCAGTGCCTCACACTTGTGAGGCAAGTGCTCTACCACTGAGCTACAGCCCCAGCCCAACATTAAGATTTTTTTAAAGCTCACCAACTAACTCCAGGCTGCAGACCCTAGCTTCCCCAGGTGAAGTGACATTGTTCTAGCATCTGTCCCAAGTTCAAGGTGACCCTAATGATGGGAACCCCTGCTGACTCCCAAGACCATAAAGCTGCATTTGTAATGTCAGATGACTTTTCAGGGGCTTGAGCCCAGTGTCCTCTGATGAGGAAATGGAGCCAGGCATGAGGCAGAGGCCCTGAGGCTGGCCTTGTGTGGTGGAGAGTGAGCCTGTGCTATTTTGAACACCAGGGCAGGAGGGTGGTGAAGGAGACAGGAATGGGAACTGCTTGCGGTTTTCCTGAGTCTCCTTTGATTTGAAGATCAGTGCCCTTCACGGTAAACATCATCCTGCTTGTCAGACAAGGAAACAGCAGGATTCACCCGGCTCACAGAAGCCCATTGGAAAGGGAGTAGATGGTACCCACTTGGGCCCCTTGGTAACACCAAGGTCTTCTGCTGAGCCTGACTCCTCAAAGCCCACAGGAAGGCCATGGTCAGGCCCTGGGGAGGACATAGGAAAGCACAGAATCTGGAAGGCACCTGGCTTCCTCACCATGTGCAACATTCCAGGGATAGGCCTGCTCCCTTCTCTGTACCCTGAGATGCCATTATTAACTGCAGCTGGGCAGTGCACAGCAGCCTCGGGTGTATTAAAGTTTTGCAGAACACTCCGAGTCCCACGAAGCCCAGGGGTTGTGTGGACACCAGGGACTCCAGATGGAGAAGGTGCCACACATGGATATGGCTTTCTGCTTGGGAAGGAGACCGATGTAGCAGACATTTTTAAGGGCTCCTGCAAGAGTTAGCAAGGGCCAAGGGCTCAGGGAGCAGGGTCTGGACAGGACAGAACTGCCTGGCAGTTTCCTCCCTGGGTAACACACTCATGCGCCACTTACAGCGGGGCCAGGTACTCAGAAGTGTGTCATTAGGTGAATTCATCTCTGGGGGTATGTAGGAGTGCGCTTGCATAAACCTAGATGGCATGGGCCAATCTCCATGTGGCCTCTCGTGTAATCAAGAGACACACTATTAAACACAAGGCTGCTGCGGGAGTAGCACAGCAAACTTTTACAGTAAATTATTTTTATAAGTAGAGGAGTACACTGACCATAAAAAGCATAGTAAATATATAAGCCAGTAGCATGGTGGTTTATTATCAAGTATTATGTTCTGCACATAATTGTGTGTGCTATACTTTTTATGTGCGTGACAGCGCAGAAGGCTGTTTACGTTGGCATCACCACAAACACGAGACTAATGTGTTGAGCTATGACATTAGGACGTCTGCAACATTTCCAGGTAATGGGAATTTTTCAGCTCCAGTAGACTCTTATGGGATCACTGTCGAATATGCAGTCCATGCTTGACTGAAGAGTAGTCATGTGTCACATAACTTGAGACAGCTTGTCAAGGAATGGACAGAGGATAGAACCACAGCAGAGGGTGCCCTGGTCCACGCCTCAGGAATTTGGGATGCTCTGCTCAGCCATACTGTGCTGGCTATAGCAACCTCTGCCTCCTTGTGCCAGGGTTTCTAATGCTGTGAATGCCAGCAACTGGGGATTTGGTGCCAAAATCAACAGCCTCAAATATTAGTCCAGACTGATATACAGTTTGCATTTCATTTAAACTTAATGCTAAGCTGCAGCCCCCCCCCCAGGCTTGTGGGAAATCTAACTGCAGTCATGATTGAGCAAAGGTCCCAGAGGCACAGGCAGCAGAAGTGCTGGGGAGACCTGTGGTAATCAGGTCCAGTCCCTTCTGGGGGCTACTAGGCCACCTGCCCACTGTCTTAAGAATTTTGAAGCCCAGATCTCTGCTCAGAACAGGTAGAAGTGAAATGCAACCAGTATGAATTAATATTTTGGCAATCATCTTAACTGGGGCTGCTATCACAAAATACCAAAGACAAGGCAGCTTAAACCAAAGACATTTGTCTTACACGGTTCTGGAGTCTGGAAATCCAGAAATCAATGTACCAGCAGATGAAGATCCAGTGTTTGGTGTGGGTTCCCCTCCTGGTTTGCAGATGGCCATCTTCTCATGTTAAGAAAACAGACTTGCCTCTTTCTCTTCTCATAAGGCTACTAATCCCATCCTGAGAGTCTCACCCTCATGGCCTCATCTAACCCTAGCCCTCCCGAAGTTCCTGCCTCCTAATACCACCCCCTGGGGGTTAAGGATGCAACATATCATTTGGGCAGGGGGGACACCAACATGCTGTCCATATCTTGAAATGGTCTTCTTTAAGGCCACTAGTACCTTGCAAAATGTTGCAAGCACCTGGGGATGACTTGCAGGACCAGGGGCAGTACATTCTGGGGTCATTGTCCCAACCCTCACCTCAGGCTATCCCCGTCTCTGGCAGTGCTCATCCACCTGTGGGAAGGGGCTGCAGTCCCGCGTGGTACAGTGCATGCACAAAGTCACCGGGCGCCATGGCAGTGAGTGCCCCACTCTCTCGAAGCCGGCAGCCTACAGACAGTGCCACCAGGAGGTCTGCAATGACAAGATCAACGTGAACACCATCACCTCCCCTCGTCTTGGTGAGTACTTCTGGTCCAGATTTCCAGGAGGCACTGGGTCCTGTGGACAGTGACTCGCTGCTGGTGGTAGAGTTCTGTATGCCAGAAAGCTGCCTCCTTGGGCAGGCTTTGAGCCCTGGAGAGGCCAGCAGTTGTTTGTTCTATGGAATGTAGGAGGATTCAGAGAATTTCATTGTCAAGAGACATTTGCTAACTGCAGTCTTAAACATAGTCCTTAAAGGTATCAGGATTCCTAGGCGTGACAGGGCTGAAGGAGGTGCTTTGTCCTGGAAATGAAAGATCCAGGAGGCCCTCATGATGTCCATGGGGGATGCTCCCGAGTGAAGCCCAAGATGCAGAGACACAGTGGAGAACGAACAGGTTTTTGTGTAAAAAGTTTGGGGCCCAGAACCTGGTCCTCTACCTGTCCCATATCCCAAGCTCGTGGTGGGATAAGAGGAAGAACATTTGATATTGATCTGATGACTCAACAGTTTCTGCTTTTTCTGGATAAAAAAAAAAAAATCCTGAGAAATATATTCCTGCCAAATACATTTCCAACATGAAAACTCCACCCAAAAGAAGGGGCTTTCTGAGCAGCTCCATTTGGGTTTGGGCAGGGAGGGACTTTGAGATCACAAAAGTGACTCGTGGCTTTTGCCAGCCTAAGCCTGGTTGGTATCCTCCAAGGACCTCCTCTGAGCAGGGCTCTCTCTCCATAGTACCCTGGGGGATATTTGGGTCATTTGTTTGTACTCTGACCTCTTGTATTTGTGGGTCCTTCAAAGTCCACTGCTGCATGTCCCCTTGTCTTCTAAATGTCAACAGTAATGGTATGCTGTGCCACAAAATAACAGTGAGTGCTACCATGCTCAGGAGCAGAGTGTCCTCTGGTCTCTCCCTAAACGGGCAGCCAGATTACCACACTCAGCCAAGTAGTTGGGTTGGACATACGGATGTGTCCTTTGTAGCAGAAAGTGGCATCTACAGTGCCCCTGGCAAGGGCTTAGTTTCACGAGTCTCTTGAGGCCAGTGGGTGCACAAGGGTGAGGGAGCCCGACACTGTCAGGAGCACGGACCATCTCGATTTCCTCTAAGTGCCCTCTCTTCCCATTGTCACCTTAGCCGCTCTGACATACAAATGCACACGGGACCAGTGGACGGTGTACTGCCGGGTCATCCGAGAAAAGAACCTCTGCCAGGACATGCGGTGGTACCAGCGCTGCTGCCAGACATGTAGAGACTTCTACGCGAACAAGATGCGCCAGCCGCCTTCTCCGCCAAGCTCATGACACACAGCTCAGCAGTTGCTCAGCATTCACACTCGAGGTCCGAAGCCTGGCATTTGAATGAGCGAAATGCCCACCTTCCCAAAAGCAAACCAGCCCCATGGCCAGGACTCCCCGAAGCACACCTCGGCTCCCCCCACAAGGCCACCCCAAAATTTCAGTTGCATAGAACTTAAGAGTGGACTTGACATTGCCGTTAGTGCTTTTGTTTAATATATTATTAACAGCCACTGGATGGCTTTCTACGGTAAGGAAAAACAGTGGGCATGAGTCACATAATTATTATGTCTAAGGTTCCGTGTACTTCAAAGGGGAACACCTCTGGCAGACAATTGCCGAGAGAGAAACACCATTCAGTGCTTCTGTCCTGGCTTTCTTTTGACACTGAATACCCAATGCCTGGTGTACTGTGGGGTTCGGGGAGGGGTACATTCTGAAAATGATACACCACACTTAGAAGAGGCTTTATGCTGAAAGCCAGCAACACGCTGTATGGAAGGACAGATGCAGACAAACCTCTACTGGCTGATCTGGAGCCCACATTTCTTAATCAACCTTCCAGATAACACAAGGATGGAACTTGGCCTCTCTGCCCATCATCTCTGAGAACATATTCTCAAAACCCTGGGCCTTGCCTTGGAAGTTTTATTCCTGAGAGTTTAACTCTGCATAGACCAACAAGGAGGCCAGTGGACGTAGCTCTGCACACTGCCCATGTGGGGAGGACATTCTGAAGGGCTGGGTCTGGGGAAGCATCTACTTTTTCGAGCTCTGCTGCCCACCACGTAGGGCAACAGAAGTGCCTTTCTGCAAGGTGTCGTGAAACAGGACACTTGCCAGTCGGGGCAATGAGTTCTACTTCCTAGCATACAGGTAGGCTCAGCACAGCTTGTCAGGTCGTGTGGCCTTCCCGCTCCTCGGGGCGTCCACTCTAGCAGGCACTTAGCAGAGCTTTGCACCTTTAGCTGCTGCAGCACCGCCCAACAGCCCAGTAGCCTTGCATTGGACCTTGGCCTTGTATCTGAAATAAAGATTACACTTAAGACCTCTGAGGATACAGTTCAGGTCTGGGATCTGCAGAGTAAGGCCTAACTGCTTCCTTGGGGCGGGTTTCTCAAGCTTGGTGTGCCATGACCGGTGGATGCACACTAGGCCTCATGGAACCATCATCACCTTGCGGAAGGCCTTCTTCACAGTCCCCTCACCCTTTGCCACAGAGCCGTTTTGTCACCCAGAATGGCCTCTTTGAGAGCACACCTTATGGTAGGACCCTGGCTGTCCCAGGCGGCCTGTTGTGCTCACCAACTTGTTGGCTATGTCTCATGGGTGCTTATGTTGAAACTTACCTTGAGAAAGTCCCTTCTCYTCCCCGAGTTCAGACAGAGGATCTCACTTGGGCCAATTTCCACAGATCAACTTCAAGTGCTTGATTTATTGGTGCTGTTTTGTTTTTGTTTTTTGATTTTTACTGTCCCCTAGCAGAGAAGTGATAGGGATGGCCAGAAGTATATTCAGTTCCACTTCAATCAATGAAAAGTGTGGAGAAAACTCCCTAGGTGCTTAAATGAGAGAAGGTCAGGATGGATTAAGTGACCCGTCAGCCACCACTCCAGGGCCTGTGCAAAACACTGTGCTTTCCCAGCTCAGGCCTGGCCACCAGCAGACTCCCCTGAGCCCATTTCCACAAAACCCTCAAATGCTGGAGAGCTTGAGGTGGCACTATCTTCCCCTAGTCCAAAATGCACTGTTAATTCACCAAAAGACATTTGCCTTTTGGAATCAAGAAGCAGAACAGGGGCAAGCAGACTGAGCATGTGCTGGTACTCACTTTGCCTGGTGCCTCTGAACTGCCTCCGGGTCATGCTGAAGACTCCCCTGGCAAAAGCCCCATACCCTCAGAATGAAATGATCAATTCGGTTATTATTGAACACCCCACTAATTCCCCAGGGTCAGTGTGTTCCTGAGCCCTTGCAGCTTAGGCTGGTGCTGTCACTCTGAAATCTACCAGCCCACCTTCGGTTTAATGGCATCAGCCATGTCACCATCATGACATTCTTGTTCCACTTTGTAGGAGACAAGCTCTGCGTACCATAGTGATGTTTCTGTGTTAACAATACCCTGCACTGTCACTCAAGTACTGTACCTTTGTGGTGGCACAGATGTGTTACTAACTAGAGTCTCACGGTCTCACGGTGCTATTCTTCTTGGTGCAAAATGAAACCCTCTCAGTTGACCATGGCTTGAAGTGATCAGAACAGAGGAAAAGATCCTCAATGGCAATAATATCATTGCTCTTTTTTTTTCATTTCAAAGTCAAATGTATATATTTTCCATTAGTTAACTTACATTACGTACTGTACCCATGGTATTGTTTGTTTTAATTTTTTTGGTGCTGGTTTTGGGGGAAAAAAAAAAGACAAACATTGGTTGCCGTTATACATGAAAAATTAATCATTTCATTGGAAGCAAGTTGAACACGTGTAATAAAATGTTTTTCTGTAAAAGTTTTACACCGACTGTGAAGTAAAAGACGAAAGCCAGTCCTCGAGGTCTTGGGGGTGGGGAGAGCATAGGGGGTGGGGCTGTGTCCTTTACTTCTATACTGGTCAGCTGGCCTACCTGGGACTTGGCTGCAGGGAGCCTCAGCCTGCTGGCCTCAAGTGTGGTTGGAGTCAGAGGTCTCTGGTAAATGCAAGTCTGGTAGGTGGCTGTGTCTTTCCGAGCAAGTGCTAACAAATCATTCAGTCCTGGGCCTCATCCTGTGTGGTTGCAAAACCCTGGGTGGGGATATGAAGGTCTTGCAACTGTGCTGAATCTGTGCTTCTGAAGTGGATCAGCCACATTGCTGGCCAAGCGAGACATTCAGTATGGGAGTAAGTGACCCTTGCTGCAGGAACCTCCAACAGAGTGCGGGCCCTGGTCATGATACAACCCAGGCCTTCTCCCTCTGGCTGGGTTCCCCAACTCTTAGCCCACCTCCTGCTACCCCTTATCTCTGCTGCCAGCCCCACTGGCTCCCCTCCTCCAGCAGGTATGAGGCTGATCCTGACCCTTCCTGCCTCCCAGGACTGGGGACACAGAAAAGGCACACTCCCACAACTGGAACAGCAGCAGCCATTTGGAACCCATCTAGACAAGACACGGAGCATTAATGTCACAGCTGGGGTGGAAGGAGGGGTATTTCATCTCCTAATGGGATCAGGAGAAAATGCTCTCCCAGTAAGAACTTAGAGACAATCCATTACTAAAGTTGAAGCAACACCCAGAAATTTTACCAAATAATTTGTTAAGCAAACTCCCCACAGCCCCTGGTTGCCAGGTATATTAATCCATTTTCATGACTGCAATGAAGTACTTAATGCAGGTAACTCTATAAAGAAAAAAGGTTCATTTGGCTCACGGTTCTGAAGTTCCAAGGTCAAGGGGCCACATTTGGTAATGGTCTTTTGCTGGCAGAGACCTGAGGTGGTACGGGGCCTCACATGATGAGGGAAACAGAGTGAATCTGTGTCTCTTATCTCACTCCCTCTTCTTCATGGGGGAATCAATCATGGGGGCTCCATCCAGTGACCCTATCAAATCCTAATCACTTCCTAAAGGCCCCATCTCTAAACACCATAGTTAGATTAAGGTTCTACCTTGGTAATGATGTTAACATACGACTTTGGGGAATGGATTTACTGCATGGGTTCAAGGGTACAAACCACATTCCAACCACAGCACTAGAAAACCTGTATTTTATGTTGTTAGATGAGATCCGCATGCTCCCATCAGCAAATGTTGAATGAGTTTCAGTTAGAGCCCCAGCACCTCCTAGAACTGCCAAGAATACAAAAACCTCCTGGGGACCCCAATCCCTGCTGGGGATAAGCCCAGAGAACCACATAAAAGGGAATGAGTGAAGACAGTAGAACCTCCAAGAAAGGAGAGGTCTGGCCTTCCTTTGGGGGTTTATTGACTGACCTTCTGGACACAGACTATGAGGCCTGGGCTGGAATTGCTTCCAGGGGCACTCTCCCTCTGCAAAAGGTCTCAGCAAGAGCCCTCGTGTTTCTACTTCTGGACACGAATCTGCCTTCTTCACTGACCATGGGAGCAGCCTTGCACCTCCACGTAACCCACACAGAGCGCTGCTTTCTGCCTCCCGTTTCTTGCTGTCATTTGCTTTCTGGCTTCTGGTTTTTGCCCAGAATAAGAGCTGATGCGACACTGTTCTTGACAGGTCACCAGTGACGTCACAGGATCAGACTGCAGACATATTAACCTCCTCCTCGCTGGCTCTCGGCAGCCCTCCCCTTCAGCTCGTCTTCTCCTCTGTGGAGGAGACACAGGCCCAGGACTTTTCTCATCTTCGTCTTTCCTGGCTCCCTTTTCCCACCAGCTCTCCAGGTGATGGAGCACCTGGAGAAGAGCCCTACACATTTTCTCTCTAGACTTTCTCCCTAGATCACCTCACCCATTTGACCCAGGACTTTTAAAACCATGTTCATTCAAGTCTCTCCTAAATGTGCATCTTTGACCCTGACCCTGGAAATTCATTCACGACTCTTCACCTGGTTGGTCAATCCCACAGGAAGTTCTAGGACTGGGATGGCCCTTCGGAGTTGTCCCAAATCTGTCATTTGGGCAAAGGGCTCAGTGGGGACAGCTCATCCCTGGGGTGGTTCCAAGGACAAGTAGAGACTGGACTGGACAGAAAGCTCACATACGCATAGATGTGGCAGCTGATATCAGCTGGAAGATTCTCATCTAGGACTCTCCCAGGAGCCTCCTGCAGCATGGTGGTGGGGCTTCAGTGGCAAACAACCTTAGAGAAAGCACAGGGACACTCAGGAGAGCAGCATCACTTCATAGGACAGCTCGCAGTTCACACAGCATAATCCCGCCTGCTTGAACAGTGAGGCTGCCTCAGAGACCCACAAGTTAAGGTAAAGGGACAGAGCCCACCTCTCGGGGGGATTCTGGAAGAGCAGGTAGGTTGGGAAATGACTTGTGGCCATTT